CGCCCCATCCTGCAGAACTCTTCAGCCGCGAGCCACTGTTGACCACCGCTGGGTTGGTTCTCCGAGGGGATGTCAGATAGCGGCGGTTAGAAGGACCATGAAACTAGGGGGACAGATGAATGGACATCTTTATTCGCTTCTTTTAGCCCGGTATGTCGGCGATAAATTGCTGGTAGCCTGTGATGTGGTTTGCCAAGAGACTTGCGGATCAGATTATTCAACGAGGTAAAACGTCCAGCGGCTCAAAATGTCGAATACTGGATGTTTTTGTCTTGTGAAACGTTTTGACTCATGCGTGAATGTTTTGACTCGATAAAACATCTCGTCACGTTTGGTGTTTCGGCGCAGTTGAGTATTTGGTCTCCTTGGGCGTTTTGGCTCGGAGCACATCTTCTCTCTGCATATTTTTATGACAACTTCATGCGCCTACAGAAGTACACAGAATGATTATAGCCACAAAACCTTTCGGTTTATAACTGGGGATCTTTGTTTTCGGGGTTTATTTTTCAGCGAAATCGGGGGTGTTATTTCCGGGTTTAGATTTTCCACAGATGCGATGTTTTTCGGTATAAGCTTTTTGTTTCAGATAATATGTCGAATTTTACCAAAGTTTCCGTTGAAAAAAGAAAAAAGAAAGAAAAGGCACGGACATTGAATTTTTTTAAGCTTCAGGTAACATACACATGGCTCGACTGCTTAGAAAACGTTCCGATAACAAAGGAAAAGGAGATAATGCTTGCGGCCCTGAAGAAAGAAAAAGCCTCGCGCTCAGTTCAATGTGGGCTGTGTGCCGGGTCTATTGAAAATGAAACCCTAGATAAAGATATTTCCCTGTGAATCTTGGATTTTTCCCGGGGGCTTTCGCGTTTTTTGTTTTTCTTTCGATTTCGATACAACCGATTTGGGGGTTAATTTTCGGGGTTTTTCGGTATTTACCGAAAACACGGAACACTATTTATAACCAAATATTTTCAAGGAATCGGGCCTTTTACGGTAAACAATAACGTCCCCAATCACTGGCGTGTCATCTTTTCAGTCCAACGTCCTCGTGACGTCCTCGCTGAAGCGAACTGATGACTTCAATTAGCGCACACTAAGTGTTTAATAACGAGCCGCCCTTGGCGGGGAGATCAACTGCACACGATGGGCCAATTGAAAAAAAGAGTCGAGCGGTTAGTCGCGTTGGGGCTCATCCTTCGTTCCGGAGGCAGTTATTGTGGCACGGCCACATGTCCAGCGATTCAACCTTCCTGGAAATATACGTCCCCTCGTTCTTTGTTCAGGCAGACGCCGTTGCTGAATCATGGCGTCCGGTCCCCGTTCGCTGTATGCTGTGATTACACCGAGACCGAATTCGTGGAGTTTGCTTCTCGTGGAGGCCGGATGCTCTCGCTCAGTATGCATTCCGTCCGCCTAATTACCCGCGTATACACACGCCGCTCTCCTGAAAAGTTCGTCTGGCTGGGAGGGTGTGGTGCCCGCGGGAACGTTGAAGCAATGTGTCCACCTGCTGCGAATAACATGCACGACGCACGCCAGAGGAGAGGACTAATAATTCGCGCATCTGGTATCCAATCAGCCAATATCAATTTTGCCAGCTATTCACAGTTCTAACGTTTATCACTCAGGAAAAAAAAAAAAAAAAAGCCGAGTCACTGGATTACGGACGCATGCGCGGCATCTGGTATTCTGCGGAAGAGAGCTGCGGCGCGTGCATGTGTTCTACAGCCCTGTACACAAATACGGCAGCGAGCAGAAAGCTATCTTTGGAATGGCCTTCCAATAATCGCCTTTCGCGCCCTGTCATCATTATTTACTGGACGGGCGCAGTTCAAGTCCCTAGATAAGAGCTTTCTACAAGTAGCGACATTCTTTGAAGCGCCGACTGCGTGACGGTGCAGGTTTTAGGAAACAAATGGCGGCGCACAGCAGAGGTTTGAACTGGATGCCGCCATCTTGTTCCAGCGGAACGTGCTTCGTCATTAGTATGGTTGTCCTTACTTGTAAAAGTATCAGGGGACTTTAGGCTAAAGTCCCTTCATACTTCTTTTACAAGTAACGACAACGAATACGAATGAGAGCGCACATTCCGCTGGAACAAAATGACGCCACTCAGTTCAATCTTCCGCTGTGTGCCGCCATTCGCTTTCTCAAACCTGCACCGTCACGCAGTCGGCGTTTGAAAGAATGTCGCTACTTGTAGGAAGCTCTAATCTAGGGACTTTGCTTTAGGCGCAATAGCTCTTTGTTGCGGAACATTAACAGCCTAGCGTGTCTCCAGGTGACTCTGCGTTTTTCGCCTGGTGAGAATGTATACTCTTGCAATATAGACCTTTCCATCGCTTAACACCCGGGCGAAAAATGCTGAATCACTGAGCTGTGGGCGCATGCGCAGTGTCTGATAAACCACACAGCAGAGCTACAGCGCATGCTTAGAAGGCATTCCACAGCCCAGCAGACAAAGATGGCAGCGAGCAGAAGGCGATTTTTGCAAAAGTGTATATGCTCTGGTAGTTTTCTCATTTAATGTGCATAAATTGAACTACTTGCCAATTTTTGTTGTTGCTCAGAAATTGTGATGTCGTAAAACGATCGAAAGACAACGAAGCGCTTAATTCTGGCTTTAGAAAACAATTATCGAAAGCGGTTATGACAAGAGTGTCGATGATCTCATTGTATACGCATGTCGCGCGGAAAACTTGGCGAGATGGTTTTTTTATGTGTAGGACGGTTTCCACACACCCGCTCAGCTTTGGCTAATGAACGGATAAATTACCTTCGTTGAATTGCCTTTCTTTAATGAACACACATTTAATTGTTTTAATATATAAGCGCCTTCATTATTGTTATAGAACCAATGTACATATCCGTATCTTCTTGAGACCTTCAACCCTTTGCTGTTGACGCTATCCTGCACTGTGCACGGAATTATTCCAACTTATTGCCTTCTTTGGAGTATCAGTTTGATGGCATAAACTTTTCACGGTAAAGGCAACGATCGTGGCACGCGTAGACCACCTGCGTGGCAGAACAAAGGCTGCGAACATACCGATGTGCAATTGCATTTAATTGTTAGCGTCGTGCTCAGATTTATCGCCGATTCAACTCTACGTCGAGCATGGCTAAATAAGTGCTCTTAAGTACTAAAAACAGAGAGTTTGAAAATAGGGGACCCCAATGCTTTGGGTCCCCCGAGGAGCTTGGAGCGTCGCACTGCGGAGAAGTTCTGCGGGTGCGTAGTGCGACGCCCCAAGTTTCTTGGGCGCCCCAAAATGCTGGGGGCTCCTATTCTAAATCTCTCAAGTATGTTTTATTTACGGTTCTGCGTTTTCGAACTAAGGCAATATTACCTGTCAAATACACTCCTTCCTTTCTTCCCTTAGCATATTAATTCAGCTAAAGTCACGACAAATGCTTTTGCATATAATTACAATACTCCGCTCTTCAGCAACGCATATGGTCAACGCTTGATAAGCACTGGTACAATACCGTTGGAACCGTTCCAAAGTACTGCACCAGTGTACTGTATCAAGCGTTTTTAATATCAAGTTTTTAATAATTAAAAACATGAAAGAAAGCCAATGATTTGCATTGTCTTAAAAAAGTCATTAATGAGAAATGCTGGGAACCGTGAATTTTCTTGTTTGAAGTTCCTTTGTGAGGCGCTAGAATGCGTGTCAAATAAAAACCCGCATTTATTATCAATGAACCTGTGTATGGATCCACAACTAGCCTCAATGGCTAGGGATCCAGATGCAATATGCAGTGTTGTTATCGTTTAAAGGAGATGAATGAAGATCGATTGACTGATTGATCTGAACGACTTTTCTCATCTTTCATCCGCTCGTCCGCGTGCATCGGTGTGTTGTAACAAGAAGTGATAGGACGCGCATGATAATAAGAGATTACCCAACGCTAATTTTCGCCTTCAGGGTGGGGACAGAAGAGGCAGCACAAGACAAAAAAAAAAGAGAAAAGCTGTGTTGTCTTGTCCCTTCTCAAAAAAAGAAAAGACAACAACAAAATACTTAATAAACTTTGAAATTTCTTACGTGACATTCATATTTAAAATGTGAGCAACTCAAACCAACCAAGACTCCGAAATATGCCTACGATATGTCACAATGATGCTTGAACAGCCTACGATTGTATCGCCAAAGATATTTCCAAAACACAAAACCCTGGATTTATTTCACAGTGCTGGATCGACAGCTTAAACCCCGAGGCTATTTTTAAGAAACGTCGGATGTACTTCTGAGAATTTCTCTCTTGGTGATTCTTTTTCTATGAGCGTGTTTCCCTTAAGTTCTTTCAAACATATCACCAAGGCACACATACGATACTTCTCTATAGTACAAGCATGAAAACCGAAGTCGCCTCGTTACCTACATGCCCTTCTAGGAACCAGAGCGACCGCAAAAGCTCATCTCACCTTTCTTCTTCCCCCTACGACACTCAATTCCACGAAAACAGCCGACCCAAAATCATGTCCTCTCGGCAAGGCAACAAACACCGAAAGAGGTGCTTTCTGTCCGTCCCTATGTTTATTCTTTCTGTTTTTATTTAACTTCACCAACGCGCCACGTCGAACTAAGCGAAGCGTGCAACAACAATGCCTATGGGACAAAAAAAAAAAAAAAATCCGAAAAGAGCCACGCCATTTTGTATAAACACGCGTAACCTTTCTCCTCTCTTCCTCCCGCGGCGAACATCCTCTGAGAGCAAAACAAGAGACCTCAGCAGCAACCACGCACCCTCCTTTCCAGCCGTCACCCCTCGGAGCAAAAACTCGCTCCAACGACAGCAACTTTGAGGGGAGAGACTTCCAGAAAGCGACACATCTCCCTTTTGCAGAGGGGGGAAGGGGGGGGGGGGGGCTTCTCTCCCCTCTCCCCCCAACGACACCAGATGCGAGGAGGGGTACTCCCCCCGTCCACCCCCCGCCGAGGAGTGAGAGGAACCAGGAGGGGCCACACCATCCGACAAGAAGCGCACGGACTCGGCCAGCGTCCCTCGTCACAAGGAGCTCTGCAGGCCTGGCATCAAGATGCGTCTCGTGCGGTGGCTCCTTGCGGTCGGCTCCTGGGTCCTGGTACAGGCGGCACCGGACCCTGCTCGCAGGCAGGCCGAGGGCTCGTGCAGGGCGGCCGGGCTTTGCTGTCCCGGCAGGGACGCCTCGTGCGTCGTCCAGAAGGCCGTCCTCAACACCATCGTGGAGGACCCCGACGAGGGGGCCTGCTACTGTGACCACGCGTGCCTCAGGCTCGGGGACTGCTGCCACGACTTCAAGGAGTCCTGCGGAGGTGGGCCAGGGTTGGGGGTGGATTATAGTCTCACTCACGATATATATATCTGTTATTTTTGCCTTTTGTCAACAGTACTTTTGCTGCCTAAGGTATCAATGGCCATTGGGGTGGTTCTTATGTCCAGGCTAACCACTCTTACTGTCACAACACCAATCAACCTTATTATTCAGAGCTAGCTGTTCGTCCTAGGTTTGCGTTCTGTGTCCGGTCCATTAACGTGCGCGGATAGTGGTTATAAAAGATTCTAGGTATTGTATGACCTCAGTTTCTTCCCACATTTTTTTGATAACTCACGTTAATAACACGTTGAACATCTGCCGGTGGTCCTTCTCCCATACTAAATATTTCATCAGTGAGGTTGCAGGAATCGTCAAAGACTGCAACGGGGGCCAAAGCGACCTTACAGATTTGGTAATAGCATTCATGACGCTGGCGGTTGTATTTACGTAAGAAAATGTGCAACTTTTTTTTTTTGTAGATATAATGTGGAGCGAACTGTATAAGTTATAAAAATTGAGATGTCTACTTCGCAGACTAGAAGTAAGGAAGAAAAATATGAGGTGAATACAATAGAAGTTCAAGATAGCTTAATAAAAACACCATTCATTCAGCACGCGAGCATAGCAAATCATATTTCTGTCCAAGTTTGCAGAGGTTAATCTGCCCTGTAACACTTCACCACTTTCTCAGATACCGTCATTGTATAACACCACCGCTCCACCTCGCCTGGACATTTCTTCATCATTTACATTGCACATCAGTCAATTGAATGAGCACTTATATGCGTCTTAATTTGTTCTATTTGTTGTTTGGTAAACGTTTCTTTTTCTATTGTTTGTTGATAGTGTACCAAAGTGAAGACCCTCTTGGTTTTTTTTTGGATACCTAAATAACGCACGTATTATTATTATTATTATTATTATTATTATTATTAAGGATCGTACCAGCAAATCAATGCGGAAAAAGTAGAATGTTCACACGTGACATACTGTAGCAACATTTGGCTTAGGATAGGAAGCAGACTATCTCAACCAATTCCAAAAGCCTTTATAGTCCCTTCAATACAGTAGCCATATTTGTCGTGGATATCTCAAACCAAGTGGGAAGTAAATTTTGCCAATATTTATAAGCTCGGGACTTTTCAGCTTCTCATCATTAAACAAGCACCACGACGCTCCTGGAGATTCCCGCTGGCGCTGAGGTGGTGGTGACGATATTGTAAAACTGCGGGTCATCCTAGGAATCTGTGACGCCGTAATCCCAAAGTGGAAACAAAAAAAAGGTATTATCTTACAATTATGCAATTTACGTTTCTAAGTGAATATTTGTAATTTGTCTCGGACAAAGCGTATTGTATATGTAGGATTCCGTGTTTTCGGAGTTTATTTCTCGTAAAATTCAAAGTATGTTTTTCTGAGTTTTATTTTTGTTAGATTTGCAATTCTCCGAAGTAGGAAGCTTATTTGCTATGTTTTCAAATTTTCAAGATAAAAATAAACATATATTTTCGCCTATAAGAACGCACGTGTACCAGATGGCATTCGCGCACTTCATTAGTAATACTAACTGTCTTACAACAAAACTTGAAAAAAAAAAAAAAAAGACATTAAAATCACTGAATTCCTTGACGTAGTCTCTGGAGAGCTTGTTTTCTTTTCATCTTACTCTGCCGCTTTTCCCTGCGGCTGCGCGGGGTGGAGTGATGCAAGCCAAGCTTCAGCTGTTCCTCCTATGAAACCTAACAGTTAATAGCTTTCGCGGTTATCAAATCACAACCCTACCTTCCTCTATATCAATCGGGAAACCAAAAGAGTGGTTTGAGTCGTGACCCAAAATTCAAATGCCCCGTTGCCCTGAACGAACCCCGTCGGGGTAGGCGGTGAACCTTTTTCGGTCAATGCTATGAGCTTTTCAAGGAATCTGGAGAGGCCTCTCCTGATGACCGCTGAACCTGTGCTCTGTCCAAACTTATTTGTCGAAAACTGCGTTCTTTTGTTTCTTTTTGGTCGTCGTGACCACCGAATTCAGAGTTTTTGGAATAAATCCGAAGTTAAGACAATTTTACCGGGGAGTGTTTTTCGGATTTTATCGGATTTATCCGAAAACACGGTACCCCTATGTATACTCTACCAAGTCGCATAATGCCATCTATGAAACGTGATAAGCTTTGAAGATTGGACCACGGAATGTACACCACGCATTCGGGTGATTAATTTATACAGTACCAATTTCGCTTTATTGTTAAAATGGTTCAGGACCTCAGGTATTGCTGAAATTATATTTAAGCAAGAGGCAAAAGGATGCAGGCCAGATGGTTAGGAAAATTAGATTATGAACTTTCATCAGTCTGCTTCCAGTCGTTTAAGACCGACTTCTAAGTTCTTACTGATACACTATGCATTATCTATTGTTTTTAACATATTCCACCAGCGATGTTGTGATAATGCCACAACATCGCTTCTCAACAAAAAGAAAAACATCCTTATTAGCGTCACAAAAATGGGAAGTAATTTTGTTTTCCTGGGAGAACGTGCCTAGATCTTCTTTTGTGTCTTCATATGGGCATTCGCTGAGAGTTAGTAATGAAACACATTGATATAATTTTCTAAAACATTACGGACGAGGACCATGGCCGGCCATACACCATCAAGCGCCCTGGGCGAACTCCGACCATGGCGCCCCCCCTCCCCCCTTTTTTTCGTGTTTTATACGCCCGTATCTACTTGGTACAACATCACGTTGTCAGTGAACACGTGAGTAGTGGCCCAACAAGATCTGTTTTTCAGACGAGAACTGCATTCTGTAAACGAACGGCGATCCAGCATAGACATCGTCGTGTTGGGCGCCGTGCTAAAATAAATCAAAATGCAAAAAAAAAAAAAAAACGGGGGGGGGGGGGGAGGTGCCTTTTTGTTTATGGTGCCCTGGGCGACTGCCCAGGTCGCACACCCCTAGGACCGGCCCTGAAAGGGGATCAGCATGCGGTGATGCGAATGAATACAATCTCATGCACCAAATTTATATTGTGTCTTTATTAAATATTAATTTTTGCTCTGCCAACTGTACAAGTACAATTAAGAGCTTCGCATACGAAAAACCTCGGTGGTGGACCATCCTATATATACACACGTAAATAGTTTGAGGTTTTGGAAGGAATCGGACTTTTGGTTGGACCGGATGACCGGGGAACTGAAAAGCAGAGGCCTGAGTGCGCGCAGTCAAACCAGTGAAATCGTAGTTCAAGGCAGTGAGAAAAATACAAATGAGATGCCCTGAAAGCACTTATCGTGGCTAGCCGTTTATGCTATTCGATGTATGAACTACTATGCACATATTAAGCCCGTTAGTGTGCAGTAGAACCTGTGTATGCGCTCTGTCAGTGTGCTCTGAAGTCAAGACAAATGTACGGAATGACGAAGGGAAGTAGCGTCACTAAACGACGAAAAACATTTGAAAACCAACGCTACGTTTCTTGGATCGCCTAATGTTGCGAATTACATTATGCCAGTGCAAATGCCTATAGGTTGCCTGTTGACCTACTTGATTAGGATTAGGTCACTGGACATCCAAGATTCATAGATTATGATGGGTGTCAGTCGGTGCGCGAGCTACCGATGAATCGTCGCTTGAAAAAGGTCGCCATATCTAAAGAGCGCAATGCTCATAGCATAAGCAAGACAGGTTTTTCTTGTTCTCTAAAAGCTTCAACACTTTCGTGAAAACTAATAGTTTCAATATACGATGGGGCTACCTATAACATAAGTGATAGAATTCAATATTCGTCATTAGCATTTATAAGCAATACCTCCCCCCCCCCCCCCCCCCCCCCCCCCAATCTCCCTGATTGTGCTCGCACAGTGGACACGCATATAGCCCTGTTGTGCCCGGTATTATGATGTCCGTAGAAGCCACCACTGAACGCTTGCGTGGACATCTGATCAAGCTTACTACGGATCCCCGATATCTGTGTGTCTCAGGGTGGAGACAATCGAAAGCTTCATAATAGGAGGCCCCAACAGTTTTGGGTCTTTTTAGGTGCTCGGGGCGTCCCATTGCACATTGGGGTGCCCTGAGCGCGGTGCAACGCCCCAAGCTGGGACAAGCGAGAGGGCGCCTATTCAAAAACTGTCTATTAGAGAACTTTAGAATAAGGGCCCCCACTCTTCGGGTTCTCCCTATTCTCAAACTTTCTATCGGCTGAGATGTCAAGTGCGGAGCATGCCCGTAGCCGATACATCAAATAAACGCCGGAGGAAAAATGGCAGCGAAGCACTAGTGAGACCTGTGTGTTCGGAAAATAAACAAACTGTCATCGCTGAGGACAAGCACGTGGATCGCGCTTTATTATTTTCGTACCTGTCGTTTCAGCAGACGACGAGTGTCTCCTAGCCGCATTCTGTTCTGGGTGATGAACCAAATGAGATCGGTGATGACCTCCTTCAGCCGCTTTCATTACGTGGCTGTATATGTAATACAGGGTCAAATATAGCTTCGAGCACATGGTGCCCAAGTTCCGCTAGCTCGGGAAGCCGGAGGACGTGGATGGCACGAGTGGATGGCTGCACCAAGCTTAACTTCACCGAAGGGCCCTCACATGATTCAGAAGTTCCATAAACTCTATGAAAGAGAAAAACAAAAATAAGGGGCCGGGGGGGGGGGGGGGGGGGGGGGGTGCACAAGACGCGGTGGGTCACTGACTGGAGTGCTCCAAGGCCAGCAGCGCTCAAAGAGGCCTCCTTGTGTGGCGGTCGGGACCTCTGCAGCGCTTCCCGTGTCTGGCAGGAGGAGTTCACGATCTGCGGACGACGACCCACTGCGTCAGCTGGGGCCCCCCTCTGCAGACGCGATCTGTGGGACGCGCTCAGTTGCCGGAGGCTCCGGAAATAGAGGGACGCCAATCAAGATGCGGGGTCGCGGCTTAGCGTCATCCGACGCACGAACCAAAGAGAATGAAGAAAACAAAAAAAGACGCGCGAGATAACGCAAGTTTGAAGGGCGTTTATCGAGCGAACTCGCGGGGGAGTGGAATCCCCGCTCTGTGAAGAACCGCGCGCTGCTGTTTTGGTAACGAGGAAAAAAGTGCTGGCTGGACATTCTTTGAGGTTTAGAAAGCGAGTTTACACAGGGGGACAACCATAACACACGACAGACAGACTGACGACAGGAATTGTCGCTTTGGTAGTTCCGTGTTGTGACGACGAGCTCTTTTGTGGTGTGCCAGCTGTTTTTGTCGTGGCGGCTTTGAGGTACGCTTTTGATTAGACGATCTACAGAAGCAAATTGGCCGTTATGAAAGTTTTCTTTTTAAAAAGTCGGGCTGTTTTTTTTTTATTGTCATTACTTGTTCAACGCTGTATATATACAGCGTTAAACCTTAAATGCCTTCTTATAAGAAGGCATTAATTCCTTTGCCCTTCAGAAGGAACTCCTTCAACGAATCGGCGAAGCAGCGCAAGCCGATGCGCACGCGCAGAGCCACGATCGAGAGCTAATTCGACGATTCTTCACGTAATACAGGAACATTAGTATAGACCTCTTCCAAAAAACTTGACAGCAATAAAGAAAAATAAAAAATACAGATCTGGTTGGGTACATAGGGCAGCGGACGCCATCTTGAAGGATGCTCCCGGTGCAGTACGAGTTTCGTAGGAGTGAGGAGGCCGTGGGTGAAATAAAACTGCCGTTTCTTTATCACGCGCTCGAAAATAAAAACAAGAGACAGAGTGGTGCCACTAACTTATTAAAAGTGAGAGCAGATTAGTTTCTTCAACGTTCTTTATCTATTTCGGTGATGCGCTCGCAGACACTTTGTTGTCAAAGATTAGTGAATGTTCGTGCTTATACGCGAGCTGAATGGATTGCGGTTGCATGATCCTGTTATTTTAGAGTCTACACCCGATCAGTCGCGAGGTTTTGTACCACGCACTGCACAGTTGTCGGCGATCCGGTGACTACGGGCCCACCGATTGCTATAGTCGCTGCACTCGCAAGTCCTTTGAATGACAAACTCGCTAGCAGGTTGCTGACGGCACACGAAGCAGGCAGGCTTCATGTCTAGAAACAGCTTTGAGAAAGCTGTGTCAGTTTTCCTTTCCTTGGATGGTGCTAGCACATCATATGTGCAGACTAGTTATGTAAGAAACAAATTTGATTATATCCCAATTCTCACTGCGCTGTTTTCAAGTTATGCCGCATAGTCTAACATTTGCACACACACACAAATAAAGTACCCACCTTACAGTTTGTTCCACGAAATAATTTAAATATATTATTCAATTAGTCCTATTCACGGCCGAATCATGTTCCCACGCCTTGTCGAATGTGGTCGCTAAACCGATCATTCATTGGAAAACAAATGTTACACGTATTAACAACAAAAATATTGTGATAACGTCCCACTGAATAGGACCTAGCAGTCTGAGCGCGGTAAACTGGGCTCAATTGACTTAACCCAATATCCGCCGCCATTTCTGAAAATAAGTGATGCACCCCCCCGCTACCACTAATGCTAAAAAACTAAAAATAAATACTGCATAGGGAAATGAAAAGAAATCATGAAAGATCGTGTTAAAAAAAAAAAAGCAGTTGTACTTAGTTTGAAAGCACATTGTATTTACACTATTTTAGATAAATTACATGGCACATGGTGTACTTACTACTTTACTTAAAGTACATTACCTATCATTTACTTTGTACTTTGCTGTAAGTACTTTTTAGATGTACTGTTGAACAACAGTACATCTACACTGTTGAAATCAATGGGTCAAGACGCGAGTGTGCAAAACTGACCTCTACGTTATCTCTTCTAAATTTTCCTAAAGGTGGGGGTTTACCTTGAGACTATTAGCCTTTACCGTCTTTCTTACGTTATATATACAAAAATACTACTATTTCTCTTATGAGTTGAAAATAGACGATACAATTTTCCTTTCTTTGGTATGATCATGGTTTCCGATTTTTGTCTGTACAAGGATAACGAAGAGAGCGGGCTTCACTGCGCTCTGCGTTTCTTAAATTGTTCTTTCTTAACTTGAACGACATAAGAGGCTAGATGCCTCATTAAGCTGCGTTACAGAAATTGTTCCTTTTTTATATTTTCTCGCAGTGAGTCGTTCACCCGCATCTCATCTTGCGTTTGTTTAGGGCGGTCGCTTGAGGGCCGCTAGATTAAGATCGTTCTCATTTTCTTGATTCTTCGCCCCTTTGAATAACAGCCTAATCGCACGAAGCGGCCCGAAGGGGTCGACTTACGTTGTCACGCAGTTAGGAAAAGTTGACGTCTGGTTATTAACCCAGATCTTCTCGGGGCACCGTATCACTCGTTTTGTCCTTATCGGTTATTATAGCTCTCGCATTAAACAACGGGGGGCCGCTGTGTGTCGTCTCTCATTGATGTTGCTTCACGTGCATAATAATTCCGAAAAATCCTCAAGGTTTTTTTTAGATTTTTATGTTCCATGTTCATCTCAGGTCAGTCAGCGTTTGATGCTTTCTCCGACTCGTATGGCTTCAGATCCACTTTTATTGGTAATTCAAAGGGCGTTAAATGCCACGAGAAATGTCAGAATTATGGCTGATAATTTTGACATGTTTATGTCATTGGACGTCTGCACATTTAGTGTGGGTACGTGAAGTTTTGTTTACCGCTTCATGTATATACACTGCGCGAAACTGTTAACGCGAATAAGAGATCGTGGCGTGTTTTTTTTTTTCTTTTTATCAGAATAGAAATGCTGTCCTGAAAATTACGGCTTCTACATCATACAAAGGACAGTCTGCAAACACGAGTCAGTGCAATATCCGTGGTTCGAATGCCGCGTGCCAAGTCTCTCCATAGAACTCATTGCCATGTGGCATTCGAAGCACGGATCTCGCGGTGACTCGCTTCAAATCTGTGTATGCAGACTGTCTTTTGTATGATGTATAAACACTGTGACCCCGTTTGGCATGCGGCATTCGAACCACGGATATTGCGGTGACTCATGTTTGCAGACTGCTTTTTGTATGAACTGTGTGACATCGGCTTTAGGGCAATGATTTAAGCGGTACAGTTTAATGCCCACCAACATTTTCTCGAAGTGCGAAAAAGTGCCGATATCGTGTTCGCGCTAACAGTTTTGCACAGTGTACATACGTTAGAAGGCTCTTCTATTTAAATTGTCTTTTTAACTCTCACTTTAACGTCTTTTTTTGACCCGAGATGTCTGTGGACACCGGAAACTTATTCTTAGTCGTATTCCCATATCATAACACCGAACTTTATTTCAGTGATAAAACTGCGCACGGATAAGGGATAACCGACGGTTGAATCTTCCTGTAATACACTTTAAAGACCAGTGAAGGCATTACAAGAATCCATTTGATGTACTACATTAAATGCACTGTAGCAAAACAATACACTTTGAAACCTTTCTTTCTTTTATTTTTTTATCTTAAATACAGTTTTCTTTTTTAAAAGTGTTTTAAAATGACATATTTATTCACCATAGCAGGTGACGGGCGCTTTGCACCCAATCTTTTGAAGGTGCGTGTTACTATAACCCTGTTGCAGGATGATAAAAACAGAGGCTCGTGCCCCCGATGCCCTCCGCCCTTTCCACATTACCAGTGCGAACGCGGGAGAGGGGGGGGAGATAAGGCGAGGAGGGATTTGCCTCCTCTCCAGCATTCGCCCTGCTGCTGCTTCGCGGGAGGAGTTTGTTCCGCTTTTCTTAACCATGCAACAGGGGTAATATCAGGTTGTGTTTCTGCGGCGGGTCCTCCCCATCTCATTCTCCTCTCTCCCTCTGCGCTGCAGTGGTGGACTGCCAGATGTCCGAGTGGGGTCCCTGGTCCGAATGCGACGCCAGCTGCGGTCCGGGCGTCATGAGCCGAGACCGCACCGTGCTGGGCCAGCCGCGCAACGGAGGCCTGCCCTGCACCGAGCTGCTGCAGCGGCGGGGCTGCTACGGCATGCGCTGCGAGAGCATGCCGGACGACACCCTGCACAGAGGTACGTGCATACGTGGCAGTGGCCTATGCACGAGGGATCATCTATTCGCCTCGAGACTCAGATTATATTTAGGGAAAACTAAAGTCACTGGATCCTGGGGAAGTAGCACCATTGCCTTCCCTACCTGCTGGCCGGACACAAACAGATACTAACATACAGACGACCAAAACCTCGCAAGGCGATTGGCTAATCTGTCTACGTTGCCATGCAAATCGCCATCTCGGTCCATTCAAATCTTCGAAGCTTCCAGAGGGTCGTTCTAAACCAGTCGCACCCATGGAGCATCATCTTATTGTACTGGATGCGTTCCTCGCCAATATAAGAGTCTTTGGAACTGTGTATGCAATCAACTTGTCAATCATGCCCATCTCCACGGATCTCTTACAAATATATTGTTCTTCTTGCGTATTTTAAAACACTGAACTTATTTTTCAGTGCCTGCAAGCACAGCATGTGGTGGTGGTACGAAGATGTACGTTTGTTTTGCCTGTGTGTGGATAGCAAAATCTCCGTGTACAATTGAAAGGTCTCCATAAAGCTACCCATCACCAACGAATTTAGATCGGCTCACCAAGAACGGAGGGGTCAAGGAGAAACTGCTCATTTCACGGACCAAGATGGCGACCATACGCGGAGCTTGGCGCTGCTTTCCCAGGATCCAGTGACTTTAGGGGAAGCGTGCTCTCGCTTATCCATGATTTTCTATGACGCTCGTAATGATTACTTCTGTCCACAATGCGGGTGGAGACAAAGCATCCACACTAACGGCACAGAGATAGGGGCAAGGGTACACAGCACGAGCTCCTAGCAGCGAATTCCCGAGTGCGAGCGCTGCATTGGCGCCTTCATGGCCTCGGCCTCGCGTGCGTATTCGTTTTGCTCAAGTAAGTGTAAAACAAAGCGTAATTCTGCTTTTCACCAGATTAGCCATGCCGATCGAATCTCGAGGCGAATAATCACCGACAGAACGAGAGGGGCGCGGAGGAGCTTCAGTTGTTCCGCCTCCAGCGCGGGTATCCCGCCTTCGATGACACGTCCACGTCTCGTGAGCCTTGAGCGTGCACGCGCAGTCAAAGCACGGCGGAAGGCAACAAGCGCGTGCTGGAGGCCGGACTTTAAAAAGGGAACGCCAGGGCTGATGTTCTCGTCGTGTAGGTGACTACAGCGGTCCACGTGACAGACTAGACTGACAAACAGGAAGGGCTGCTCGTGCACGCAGTGGCATAGCCTCCTCTGTAAAGGAGGCTATGGCAGTGGACATCTTGGTGGAGAGATCTTTCTCTCGACTTGTGCGTCTTAAAAAAAAAAAAAAAAAAAAAAAAAATAGAGACTTTTTTTTTTTTTTTTTTTTTTGGGGGGGGCGTGCAGGGCATGGTCAACACAAAGTTAAGCCTTTTACCGTTTAGACGGGTCTCAAACTCATGGGAGTATAGGGGCCAGATAGCCCTTTCCCGAAGGGTCGAAGGACAACGTAAGGTGAGGCGGAGGGGGGTGACCTTGTGCACTATACTTTTTGCAAGCTTGCAGTTTGCTAGTAACATCTTTAGCTTTCATTTGTTTATAGGACTTTGGGCCCTCGCTTGGTGAGATAACAATAATTAAAATGGTACCGCCCCGCCAACGTGTTGTCATTCTTAATTGGAGAAGAGAGCAAGCACACTGTCGTTCCCCTTGCTCACTTGTCAAGAATTAAAGAAGCTCAACATGACTAAAAAAAAAGACTGTTAGTCTTGTAAGCAGTGATAGAGTGCAGGCGAGCTCGTAATTAATCGACATCTTGTCAACCCTGAGATGGGGAACGATAAAAAAAGGAACACAACAAAATCTCAAATGCAGCTGAATTTTATTAATATGATCATACCAATGAATAGACTTTCAGACAAAAGGAAAAGAGAAAGGGCAAAAAAGAACTCAAACAAGGGCGGGTTTGTAAACTTGAAGGGGGGGGGGGGGGGGGGGGTGGGGGGGAGAAAACCGGGAAGCGTTTGCTTGGAAGTAGGAGGGGGAGCAAAGGGGGGGGGGGGAGGGACAAGCGCCCCCCTTTGCCCCCCCCCCCCCCCCCCCCCCCCCCCCCCGGTTGGTACGCCCATGGCGCACGCCATTCTCGCTCGAGAAATGGAAACGGGGACTCGCAGCCGGTTGCCTGCGGGCCGCGTATTTGAGACCCCTAGTTTAGACCATCCATTACATGCTAAAATCCTTCATCACCTAAATCAACAACAAAACAAAAATACCTCTTTCTGGCAAGAAATTGTGATGTTTTCTGGATAGTTGAGGAATATTTGACTACAGCAAAACTTTATGTGCAATATGTTGCAAGAAAAAAAAAAAAAACGTTTTTGATGATGGCCTACTCGAATTCACAGTCTTTATAAAGGTAATAAAGAAATGTCGTTTTTTACGGGGTCTAATTACTTTTGGATTAAAGTTGAAAAAGAATGCTAACTTATAAAGACAATTACGCCGCATTTTTTTTTCCTCTCGGATTGTTTTGTGCTTATGTAGATAACTCCTGATCCTGGTCTAGCACGCAACTCAAGAATTATTACCAGCAAGTTGTGATGGGGAACCACCTTCCTATACAAAGCGTGATATTTTTTGTGGGATTTTATAATTGTTGCTCAACGTGATCCCCTATACGCCTAGCAATAAATAGTATTCATGCAATATTACGGTGAATGGCGTATTCACACTACATAACAACAGGACGAAACCCTCTCCATCATCCGTCAAGAGCTTCTATATATAGTACCTGGCTCCTGACGCTCCCTAGCTGTGGACGCCATCAGAGATATCGGGATGGCTCATTCATCCTTTCCAAAGCTCTATTCTTATTTCTGCGCTGGGTTGCCGGGAGTGACTGTCTCATCTTCACAACCATCCTCCTCTTCTGCCTCTTCCTCTCTCTCGCGTGATCAGAAGATACAAAAATATATATAGAGCTTCCGTCCGGATGTCTGTGCGCACATCCTCCTGGTATTTGTGCTCAGTTTCGCCCGCGCGATGATGTGCTGTGCTACCGCGTAAATAGCCACGTCCGCCGCCTTAAAAAAACAAAAAATAAAATAGGGTTGAATTTTAGAGTATTTTTATCCCCGTGAATCTGAATACCACGTTCGTTTTATCCGCAGAGGTAACTAAACGCCAGAAAACACGAAAAACCTGCGACCAGTCGTTACGTAATAAAATGATCTTTCAACATCCAAGCGCGTGTCGCTCGTGCGGGCAGCGCGTGCAATTGTAAGCTTGCCAGGTATATTCCCCCGCACTGACACCAGTCGTGACGTCTTTTTCTGACTTTTTTTTTTTTTTTTTGAAAATAGCGAGAGTGCGCGTGCACAGCTTTGATAGGCGCCGAAGATACGCGAAAGCGGAGATTCCGAAAACTCATTTTCTGACGTAACGCTTCGGGAAGGAGGGGCTTCAGCGGTACTTTGAAAATGATTTTCTGTAGCCTCCGTGCACCAAATTGAAAATAATAATAATGATATTCGTGATCCTGGAGGCCAAATGAAGACGATTTCATTGTTTCTCTTCAAATACAGAACCGTTTCAGCTTCCCTTTAAGCCGGGGTCACACCCTGCTCAATGCATCATACAAAAGACAGTCTGCAAGACACGAGTCACCGCAATACCTGTGGTTCGAATGCCGTGTACCCAGTTTCTCCCTGAATAAATTGCCGTACGGCATGCGAAGCACGGATCTCGCGGTGACTCGCGTTCGAAATCGTATGCAGACTGTATTTTGTATGACGTATAAGCGAGTGCAACCCCGGATTTAAGGTTTCCCGCACTGACGGCACCAAGAAAGTCTGCGTGTCACAAGAGGACACCTCTATTTTAGGAAAGAAGCTCCCGCGAAACGTACGGGGGAGGAAGGCGGCCTCACGGTCGCGCATCGACGAGCGCCATTGCCGCTGTTAGAAGACATCTCCTTTTCTGAATCTGTGCCCGCAGCTTGTGTTCCTTCACTCCAGAAAAAGACTTGACTCTATCGCTGAAGTGATCATTCATCTAACATATGGGCGTCGATTAAATATTTTATCCCGATTAATCGCCACACTTTAATCGATTAATTAATCGTTTTCTTTCGTTCCCATGCATAACAACTAAAAATGCAATATATATACAGGATGCCACAAAAGAAAATTTACACTGTCTTTTTTACCGCAAAAATAAATTAGGCATCGCTGAACGCTCATTCTCCGCCCAAAGGTAGCGCTAGAGGTCACAACCAGATGCCACAGTTTCAGCCCGACCCGACAACTTAATCAAAAGTTATAAGTGATTTTCTGAAAATTTCAATGGGAAAATGGAGCCCATTTTTGCCCGTTTTCAGTTTCTGGTGCCATAGAGCCCGACGTGTTTGAAAACTCCGTCGGCCGCCATTTTTCCGTTGAAACTTTCAAAAAATCATTTATAACTTTTGATTAAGTTATCGGATCGGGCTGAAACTTTGGCATCTGGTTGTGACCTCTAGCGCTACCTTTGGGCGGAAAATGAGCGTTCGGCGATGCCTAGTTTACTTTTGCGGTGAAAAAGACCGTGTAAATTTTCTTTTGTGACACCCTGTATATATGCATATTTGACCTTTGCTGATTGTGATAAACGAGGCAATGTGCAATTTCGGATGTTTAGATGAGAAGAGCCAAATGACTCCCGAAATCACGAATTATTACTCCAACCGCAGAAGCAAAGAAGTTCGTTGTTATTTTCCGGCTATAGCGAACTCCTTTGATTGTTCACAATGTCCTCTGCTGCGATAAACGGACATTCGCGCGGCATTAAAGTGGCTGGGAGACGTATAACCCTCTCCACCTTGCTTGGAGTTACAAATCTCACCCCTACAGTTTACTCTAGGTCAAAATTTCGCCTAAAGTTTGCCTTCATACAGGTGTACTAGTCCACGTCTGCCTGGGGAAAGCGTTGACGTCTTAGTTCTTTGTCTGTCAAAATTTAACCGGTTAAAATAAATGAATCGCGATTAAAGCATTAATCGATTAATCGGTAGGTTAATCGATCAACTGCCCAGCCCTAATAACAAACTAAAAAAAAAAGGGAAGAAAAACGGGGGGGGAGGGGGAGGCTGATTGACTCAGTTTTGCTTTAAAGCGGTTCACACCGCTGTATCAGTAAAATTGCATGACAAATTGCTAGGCAATTGTGTTGCATACGTGTAGCGTTCTAGCATCACAAACATATACGACTCTCACGGCGCCCTTCATCAGATAGTCGAAACGCGTACCATGTGTACACCTGATAGTTCTTCCCGGAATGAAACGATACTACAGTTAATCAGGCTAATAAACTTGGCGAGTTCGTCCTAGAATTAATTGTGCGGTTTGCTTCGAGTTAGGCGATCACTAGCAGATCGGAGCAATGGACCCGTTCTCTCCCATTTTACCACATCTCTCGCGGACTCCTTTGAGAGGCGGAGTTCCGGTTATAAACTCTTGCCGTTCCTTCACTTTCGGCTGCAGTGGTTCATTTTCTTTTGTGTGAACTTAATGCAGTTAATATAAACATTTACTGATCCACCGCGACCTGACCGCGGAGGGACACACACATCGCTGTCGCACAGAAGGGTCTATGGCTCTGTGCTATTGTACCGGATGTCCACGGGCCTGACAAGGCGTTTCGCGCTCTCCAGTGAGCGAAAGCTGGTCCCCCGATGAGCGGTCACGTCTCCGCGGTTGACGTCTGCTTCGTCTCGTATTCAAGCGAGCGGGGTCGTGGTCCTGTGGAGGAGTCAACGCCCTCCGTCGCCGAAGAACACGAACGGAGTGTCGCCCGGCCCCTTTCCCTTTCGTATGCTGATAGGGCGCCTGCATATCCCCCCCCCCCCCCCCCCCCCCGCGCTATTGATATGGTCCACTCGGGCGCATGCCACGCCGACAGCGGTTGTATGGCTCTTGCACTTGCGTCATAGATTGCTGGCACTTACAGTTGCCGTATTAATAAACATGCCCCAGTCGATCTAAAAAAAAGTTTCGGGTTATTTGCCGAGATCTGACGCCACAGTGTCTCGCGACGTCACGGGGACATGTAAAAGCACTCATTTTTTTAGCGAAGAAACTTTTTTGTGTCACGTGTCACTCACGTTATGCCACAAGTTACACGAAACACTACCCGGGATCCGCTTTAGAAGCGGATCCCGGGTAGTGTAGAAACTTTTTTGTGTCAACGTAAAACATCTCCGTTTCTACGTCCCTCGCTAAGCGTGATAACTGGTTCCGTGTTTTCGGTAAATACCGATAAAGACCAAAAAATAACCCCCGACCCAATTTTATCAAAATCGCGGAAAACCGAACAGCTCCAAATTGGAACTTTCTTTCGCTAAAAAAAATCTTCAATTACAATTTTAATTTGTGTTTACCTTGAACACAGCCACACAAAACTGTCCGTGAGGCTACTTCTTCAGAAACCAGATCCCGTACCCCGTTTCCGTCTTTCAATGGTACCGGGACGTTTTCCAAGTATCCTGGGCATGACATGTTCCCTGGAGGTTGAGAAATTCCATGCCCATGTCCTGATTTTTCGACATAAGGCTCGATAAACACAAATTCCTTGTCCCACAAAAAAAGAAAGAAAAAGACATCGAAAAAATTAAAGCAGAGAACAGCACATCCAGGGGACTTGATGGCCTAGCAGATAGTGTACGTTGCATTGGGTTGACTTTTGCTCTATAGCCTGCTTTAGACGTATAGCGTACGTAGGCTTCGTAACGTATGGCAACGATGCTGCGTAAACTTAGAATGAACCAGCCTTTATGCTTAGAATCACCATGCCTGCGTATATGATTGAAAATACGCTAGAGGCGGACTGGGGCTTACTTATGTGTCTTACTAACAAAATCCGCCCATTCTGTTGTTGCAGAGACGGCGATGTTGCTGCCGGTAACGTTCTCCCAACTTCGTTACATGAACGACTCGTACGACATCCGACAAAACTTGAAGTACTTGCCGAAGAGCGAGCTCAGCAAAGAAAACAATGCCACCAAGCCGTAAGTAGCTTCATAGATACATGCTTTCTCAAACACTGTTGAGGAGTCGTAAAGCCTTTACAGAGGATAAAAAGAAATCGAAAAAGTAAAAAAAAAGTCAAATTTGGGGGTTTTACGTGCCAAACCTACGACGGGCATCTGGCACGCCCCAGCGGAGGACTGAGGATTAATTTCGACCACCTGGGGATCTTTTGACGTGCAACCGAAAGCTCGGTTACACGGCGCCTTCTCCGCAATAAGCGCGAAACACATGTACGACGAAACCTTCCGATCCGACGTGCGGGCTGCCGGAATGACCTTGGGGGGAGAGGGTTTTCGTAGCATCGGAGAGCATTGAAAACCCTCGCCTCCGACCGTCGTATTGCGCGGTCGGACGTCGGATCGGACGGTTTCGTCGTACATGTGTTTCGCGCTTAAGCCTCCGTCATATTGCGGGCACCTCGGTCGGGATTCGAACCCGCCACCTGGGGATCCGTAAGCGGGCGCTCTCGCCTCGGAGCCACCGAGGCGGCTTAAAAAGAAATCGCCTAGCGCATTTCGTCAAATGCACTAAAAGTGAGCACTTGATGAAACTTTTGATAAAAAAAAGAAGAAAAAAAGATGTCCGTGACATCATTTTCCCCGCTAAATTTAGCGGGGAAAGTGTGACGTCCCAACGTGGTATTAGAATTGTAGTAGACCGTTTTTCTCCTCCGCTACGTTATTCCCGAAGAAAACGCCACAGCTGCGCCTGCGCGCCGTCAGCCTTCTCTGCACAGTTCAAGGTCTTGTGGCGGATTACGGAGCGCTATCCGGGTGCTTAGCGGGCTGCGGAAACGGTCTACTACAATTCCCCATTGTGACGTGCCACGACGCTACGTGACCATATCATGTGACACCGTGATGATTCCTCCTTATAAATTTACCAAGGGAACTTCTGTCACGTGACCCGATTTCATGCGGCTTCAGGTCGCGTGACCATTCCATGTGACCTCAGGTCATGTGACGTCATAGTACCTGGCGGCACAACGACCTGCAATTGTGCGGACCACTTGGCACGAAACCTGCGCGATCGGATCATCCCAAAACTTCGCAGGTACGTGGTACTCTTCGAGGTGACCAAGACGCGCAAGGCGTGCGAGACGCTGGAGGCCTTCAGCGTACTCAAGTCGAGCCAGCACTTGTGCGTCTCCTGCGAATCGACGGCCATGCGCAAGCACTTGGGACATCGCTGCACGGGCCACGGCATCGAGGGCATGAACACGCGGTTCGCGGCCCTGGGACACCTCCACTGCCACGGACGCTGGCAGCGCGTGGACACGCTCCAGCACTGCCCCCACGGACGCCAGCCAGACTTCATCTTCGTCTAGTCACACGGCCACATACGGGAGGCCCTATACTATCGATGTTGCGTCTTGCCCCGATCTGCCGGAACGTGGTGTTGCCAAATGAGTTTAAATGATACAAAAGTAGCGTATATAGTTACGAATGACAGGGCGTCATCTTCGAACAATCCGCCTCTGCCATTGGCAGTGTTCGATGACACCTTAGAGTCGCGTGCAATTAAAGTTCACACTCTTTCGCACGATGTTCAAGCACCACCACCAATAATAATAATAAATGTCTCGTGTGTTTGTTTAGACGGCGGGAAGTCAGTGTCCATGCTGTAGGCGTGAGATTTAGATCAAAGCACCACCAAAAACAGTAAGCTTGCGCCGGAGGTGGGAAAACTGAATCGTCCGATTCCCTAATCCCACTGAATGTCCTGTGCATTCATACGGCAATTATTAGCATTCGCTTGAGAGACCAACCGGTAGTATGCGATAGAAGTGTGTGTAGGTTATATTATATGTACCTTGATTATGAAACGTTGAATTAGCGTGGTCCGATAAAGATGAGATTCATCCATGTGAGCATTAAACAGGAGACGCAAACAACCTGCCTTGAATGCAATTAGTGCCCTGCCAGTCGTTTGTGCGTCTTGACCCTTAGACTACAGATATCATCTATTATCTTGTTTCTGTTGCCACGCGTTACTCTTCCATGAATATATAAACAAAAAAAAGAAAAGAAAAAAAAAGGTATAAAGTTAGTTAATATGGCTTCGTGTAATTGCTGATTAAAAGTCGAAATGTAATCAGCCACCGATAAATGTATCCTGCTCGCAATAATGATTCAGCATGATACGCTGACATCACCGCAGGACCCAACGTCGAAGCGACGGTTCGACGAATGGCGCGGCTGCCTCTCCTAAGATGAATGATTTTTTTTTTAATGGTATTAGCTCGATTATATGCAGCTGGACTGTACGTATTTTTTCATGAACTTCATAAACGCTGGAAAGTTCTGGTAGATCGTTCCGATTACTCCGATGAACGATACTCTGCCGCCTTGGCGTATGAATCGTATCGTTATCGGGTATTGTTATCGGGGGTATCGGAGGTAGTGGAACGATCTACTGAAACTCTCTACTGACTGTGCCAAACTGCGATCCATCGTCCGCTTCCCCCGCCATATTAAAGAAGAAGACGCCCATTTGTACGGGGACCGTGAGTGTGCGTATGTGCGTGTTTTATTCTTTTTGCCCATTTAGGAAGGTCATCCAAAGTGCCACGTCTCAAGGTGTTGTGTAGGCTTTAGTGCATCGTTCCGAACAGCTAATCCCTTATTATTTCGACATCGTTGCGATGCAATAAACGATCCTTTTGAGTTTTACGAACTCTCGTCGTGCCTCACATCTTCCATGGGGTGGTGTATGGAGAAAACATGCACGGCAGGGCAGGGCTCACGCAACCGACGCCTTGACGTCATGTATTGTCTTTGGCGGCGTCCATCGCTTGTTTGTCGCATGAAATTTAGTTTCCGAGAAATACGCAGCGGCGTGTTGTAAAAGATTTTTGAAGCGATAATTTTGGTGTTAAGCTTAGCTTCACTGAATTCAGCCTTTACATGCGAGCCTGTAATGACTAGCGTCACATTATTCACGAGTCACGGCCGTATACGTACAAAGTACCTTCTGACTGGTGAGATATTCTGATATTCAGCGCTTGTACGCACGGCGCGCGCTTTGCTCGCTTTTGGAATTGACGAACACGTGCGCGCTGAGCTGTAAAGATTGCATATGTTGAGCAGTGCGATCTTCACAGCCCAGCATTTTGTAAATGAAGAGCTTCTGGCCCAACGTTACTGGAGCAAGCTCAGTTTCGCAGCTCCCTATTCTCGCCTGCAGAGGTGAGTGGCCAAGGTGGCGATCACGAGAACTAACGGCACTGGAGTGGGATCTTGCTTCCCAGTCTCGCGCGTCGTCTACTACCACCGCGCTGAGAGCTTCCTTTTCTTTTTTTTCTTTTTTTATCCTTTTTTTTTTACTTCCATGTGTATCATAGCAAAAAAGGATGATGAAGGTGAAGTGTAATACACCACAGAGATCAGAGTTAGCGCATTGCGGGTGTTCTTTCTTTGAGTATTTGGAATTTATTTTTGTGTGCGTCTGTTTCATTGTGCTGCGAAGTGTTAGTATGAATTGCCAACTCGCCCAAGCTCAAGTATTGCTATTGAAGCTTCGCGGGCTAGGCAATCCGGAAGCAAAACTCGACTGCAGCGCTGCTAGTTCTCGTGAGCCCACGTCGCATGGCGGAGCCGTGAAACTGAGTTTGCTCCGGTTACACTCCAGTCACGTTTTTCTGGCCGGTGTGATCCTCAGCGTTCGTGCGTATGGCGGGTGCTTTGCTCACTTTTTGAAACGATGCAAAATCATAGCAGTCTGGGCTGTGATTTTGTAAACATATTAACGGCTTATAAGGATCTTTCAGCATCTGCTCATCAGCGCCAATAAACCCTAAAAAAGAAAGAAAGAAAAGAAACATAGTTCAATTCAGTTCAAAGAGCGTTTATTGATGCCATTAAGCAGGGAAAGGGGTGTAAGAATGCATCGGTGGCTAATAGTCGAGGCCTGGATGCGGCATACTATTTAAAACATGTACACTAAATAAACGATTCCAGCTTTGCCTCGTGGAGGAAGTCCAGGAGACTTCGCAGGATCGCTCGTTGTTGGTTCTCGTTTCCAGGGGGATGAGTCCAGCCTTCCAGAGTGGCAATGTTCTGAGGTCGAAATTTCGCCCTTTCTGCGTGATACTTGGGGCACACCCACACTTGGTGGTATATGTCCGCCTTAGCGTTCATGTCGCACTGGGAACAAAGGCCAGACCTTTTGCCTTTGTTCCACGATGCGAGTCTCGCGGGTGATAGTGTTGCTTCTGTGCGAACTCGGGTGACCAGAACCTGCCCTCGTCGTCCAAATACCCCGTGAAGGGAGCAGGGGATGTGCCGGCTCGGGCAGGAGCTCTTCCAAGTTTCGCCTGGTATTCATTCTTTATTCCGGCCTTTTCTTCAGCGGGGTCATATTCTTGTGACTGCCAATCGACGATTTATCAAAAAGCAAACAATGGTTTCCTTTCGTCTTCTTTTTTGTGAAATTCCTTTTTTTTTTTTTTTTTTTTGCCTTTATTGCTTGCGTGCAACTTGAGCAAGCGTGCTGAGGCGCGGGCACGGTGGGCGCGGGGCATTTCTGAAGAAGTGAAGAGCATTCGTGTACAGCCTTGAGCGACGCTCAAAGCTGCGCGACTGCACGGGCGGCTGTAGCATTCGCGTCAGAGCCAGCGAAAGTTGTGCCACATATGTGCCAAGCGAATGATACACGGCACACGCCGTATACCTTGACACCGGACGCGGGCGAGATCGATTTTGCCGGATCACTGTAAGATTTCCTTGCCGTCTAGAGAAGGAGAAGGAACCCACATAAAACAATCAAAGCCTGTGCATTCGATTTTTCGTGTCATCACAATGAGATCGAGCGCAGACACTAATTGGACACGAACGCAGGGTCAACGTTAGGCTGGAAGTCGTGTCCAGACAACACATCGAAACACGCTCCGAGTCAGGCTCGGTTCAAATTAGTGAGTGGGCGCCATACGAGTTGATGGCGTACCGTTGAAGAAGACGATGCATTTATAACGTAGTGATTGGTGATGCCGTGACAATGCACAATGCCTCGCGCCTCCCTTTCACTTCCAAAAACGACGCAGCGGGCAACGGCAGCGAGCTATCCAAGCAGTGTCCCAGGACTCCGAATCCAGCTTGTTTTCTGTCATTTCAGAAAAGGGTCCGCGTGTACAGATTTGAGCCGCGCTGTGCACGGACGCCAAAAGCTTTGGCCATAGCCTTTTATTACATGGGACTATGAACTGGCTTCGTAGCCAATTCATAGTCCCATATAATAAGAGGCTATGCAAGTGGTGTCAAGCAAACGGCGTGCGGCACGTGTCGTTTGCTTGACACCGGATGCGGCCGAGATCGGCTTTACTGGAGACTGCGAGATTTTATTGCCGTCTTGACTTACAGAATAATTTTGAGACGATGCATGACCTAGTGATGCCATGGCGACGCGCAATGCCTTGCTAGTACTGCCGCGCGCCTGCCTTTCACTTTCAGGAGTGTATGACCGCGGCCGATGCAGCCTATTCAGCTCCACGTGACATAGACTCCGGGAATCGCAAGACAAACCCAGACAGTCACATCCATTCAGTGCTGGATTGACTTTGGTGGCTTGTAGCGTCCTCATGATATATATATATACGTCTCGGCTATTCGGTGGCCCCTTTTTGTGTTTTCTGATTACACAGACTTGTGCATCTCTCGGCAACACGGCAGCCACCATAACATATATATATATATATATATATATATAGTACCTCGCACGAGGACACAGCGCACCCGTAACAAACACTCAACGTTCACAGTCACACCAAAAGAAAGGGACACTTACACAGCGCTGACTTCAACTCTTTGTATATTCCCGCCTTTTCTCTTCTTTCACGTCTAATGCATAACCTAGGCCTCATCTTTTTCTTTCTTTGCTAACGGTTAACTGTAAAAGTTTTAAGCCAGAAATTGAAAATTAAAATTTAAAAATTAAATGGAAAAATGAAATGAAAATTGAAATTGAAATTACTGTAGATCAATGATGCAAAGCTAAGTAATCCAGCTCTTTTTGTGACAGCGCTATAGATGGATTACTAATACACCTGCCGTTTTGTCTGGCAATGTTCTCCGCTTCTATTATTTCCCTTGTGAGCTGGTCTCGACTCCTTGCCAACACCACACACTTGTCAAGTTCCGCTGTGCACCCACAGTCCCGAATGTGTATGCCAACATGTCCAGAGTTCTTGTTGATGGTGGACAGGTTGTGTTCTCTAAGGCGGTGGTTTAAACACCTACCCGTCTGTCCGATATATGTTCTTCCACAGGACAGGGGGAAGGAGTATACCACATTTCCCGTGCATCGAACGAACTTATTTCTGTGATTCGTTGTGCAGGACGTCGGTGTTCTTGAAGGAGTATTTACCCTCTTACACAGGCTGTAGAGCTTGTTCGGAGCGGAGAAAATAACGTCCGTGCCTACTTTGTTTGCTATTTTCTTGAGGCCATGAGAAAAATGATGGAGATATGGCACAATCACTGGTCTTTT